GAGTAAAAGCAATTGGCATCATCCACTCCCTGCCCAGTTGTGGGGTGACCAAGCTGCTCCACCCAGCTGCTTGCTCTTTGCTGCCCTGTCCTCTCTCCTCTCTGCTGTCCCCTCAGTAACTCTGTGGTTTGCAGGGCGACACCATAACATGAGACTATCCTGAGTTCAAACACTGACTTGCTGCCTGCCAGCTATGTAGCTTTGCACAAGACAGTAGCCCTCTCTGAGCCTTACTTTCCTCCTCTGTGAATCAGGAATGATATTGTTCTTCTCAGGAGAGAATTGTGAAGCAGAATCAGCCAATCTTCATATCAGTTCTCAAGCATTCATGCTGGCCTGGTAGAAGGTAGCGCTCATTGCTAGTGTCTGGTCACAGAAGGAAGGGGCCACTTGACATTAAGGTGTCTCTAGGGCCATTGCTTCCCTGTTAACGCGTAGGACAGGGCCTCATATCCAACAGCGCAAAGGCTTAAAGCCTGGTATGCACTTCTGCATTTGGTTGTCTGTACTGAATGCAAGAGTTGCTGAGATTCCTCCACTGCAGTGTGGCCAGGGCAGAGGAGGACTGTGCTGGGCAGGCTGGCCTGTATGGCTCTGGCCAGGGGAAGCAGTCCTGGACCATAGCACAGCAGGTGGAAGAAGTACAGTCACTGCGGCTGCTGCTGGGGGCTGACCCCAGGCTCTGTGACACTGAGGGATGCCTCTGTAACCTTGGGATGAACTTTTCCCCCAGTGCCTCAGTATCCCTATTTACTATAAGGAGGATGGATCCGAGGGAACATAGATAACTCAGGTGACAAGCTAAATGCACCCGTTTCCACTTCTTAGATGGGCCTGGTGAACAAGCAAGTTGGGGTGCCCAGGGCCACCTGTGGAACTGGGAGAGTCTCGATGCAGCTGGAGACCTCAGTGATGGCCCACCGACCATGGGCTTGCCTGGTTCCCTGATGGTGCTGGGTGGTGGTGCTTTCATCAGCTTTCCGTTTTCAAAGGGGTTGCAGTGTAGGAATGACCCAGGTGAGGCTGAGACTGGCCAGAATCTCAGTGGTGACCCTGGAGTCTACAGTGGTGACCAGAGAGAAGTGGACAAGGCCTGAGCAGTACAGAGAAGAAAGGACAGGTCTCAGGCCAGCTGAGGAGGCAGGTGTCACAGGGGAGGTGATGGGCTAGGACAAGGGGCAGCTCTAATTTTACCTGGATATCATCTTTTGCTGCCAGGTGTAGTTCCTGATGAAGGAGGCCAAGAAACAGTTGTTGAAGTAACAGATGAATGAAAAAGCAGATTCATAACCAAATTAGTTAATTCAGAGGGTTCTCAAGCTAGTGCCCTCAAGACACGCCATTACCAATCTGGAGTGTAGTTTTGGTCCTATTTTCAAAGGAGCCTCAGGGTGAAGAGCCCACATTTCACCCTTGGTGAGAGTCCTCTTGCCATTGACTCAGTAATGTCCTGTAGAAAATGTCAACACACAAACAAATAGCTCTCCTTTATGCCAATGGAAACCATTTGAAAAATATAATGGGGGAAAAAACATTCCATTTTTAATGACATCAAGTGTTAAGCATCCTAAAATTCAAATTAACGAAACAAAGTAATGCTTAACTTTGAGATCATTCCAGATGATTAGCTTGACAGACTTGGCAAGACAGTTTTCAATTTCATCCAAAAGAATAAAGAGCCAAGGAAATATTTAATAAAGGAAAGTAATATGGGAAGACTTTTATCATCACACGATGAAATATGTTATAAAGCGACTTCAGCTGAAGGAGAGTGGGGGTGGAGCCAGAATTTACAAAAAGATGAATGTACAAAGGGGCTGCCCATCAGAGCAGATTCACTCATGTGTAAGTACATAATATCTGAGAGCAGACATTTCAGGTTTATGAGATTACATTTTAAAATAAATGGCACTGGCATTGTAATTTATAAACTATTTTTAGAAAGACAGAAATACCCCAAATGAGAAAATCAATAAACTATTCACTCTGCTTTTTAGAATGACGACCCTTTGGGTGGGCTTGGAGACTCTGTTCCCTCCTTTATCAGCATCGCTGATTAATTTGCTAAGCTAATGCTGCCCAGGCCAACTGGGTACCAAGTGGTGTGTTACACGCCTGCCTTTTTGTCTGTAGAACATGGACAATAGTGGTGCCCGCCTCATGGGGTGTCGTGATATTAAATGCAGTAGTGTTGTGGCTTCCTGGTAAGCAAACAGCAGACTTACATGAAATGCTACCAGGATCCTCTGGGCTTCGTGCTTCATCCTGGTCTATAGCCACCAAGAGCTTGTTCTCAGAGTGGCCGTGAGGTGTGAGTTCATACAGCAGCAGGGGCTCATCTGGAGCGCTTGTGCAGCCAGGCATGGAGCTGAGGGCGGGTGGAAGGCACAGTAGGGACTTGGCTCCACACCCTGGGATGGTGACACAAGAGCTGGCTGTGACTTCAGAGGTGAAACTCACTCTTTAATTATACTTCCCCAGACTTCAGCCTAAACGAGGTCTGTGGTTGAAGCTTCCATTTTAGGACCATGATCGGCAACTTCGGTCCTGAAACCCATCATAACTCTGCTCTAGAACTGCAATGTCCTCACTATCTAAAAATATGCCACTCTGGGAGGGTGCTGTAAAAAAATGCCTCTGGCCTGACTCTGGAAATGGAGCCGCATGGAAAAGGCTGGAGGAGATGGAAGCCCGAGTGACGCGCACACACAGACCCTGACCTGAGGACAGTGCAGGGTGGGGTGTGAGCCCCTGGCAAATCAGTCGCATTATTTGGTGACTTCTCTGGATGAATCTTTTCTATTTTTAAAAAAGTTGTGACGTGTTAAAGACTGCATGGTTGAGTCCCTCACTCCTATGCTGACACCACCCCCTGGGAGACAGGGCTAGGTGGTGGGGGTGAGGGGTTGGCTTATGAGAGCGGAGCCCTCACCAGTACTTCAGTGACCTTAGAAAAGAGACATGGGAGAGGTCGCCTGCTCTCTCTCAGCTGTGCGCCATGCGACGATATGGCGAGGAAGCAGCATTTGTACCAGGAGGAGGCACCAGAACTCAGCCCCACCAGGACCACGACTCTCTATTTCCAACCTCCAGAATGGTGTAAAGGAAAGGTTGTTGCATAAGGTTCTACAGAATCCCATTACAGTGGCCTGCGCCAATGCAGACATGGGAAAGGCTATTTGCTGCCTTATTTACCACTGTCAATCTCACACAAACCCCCCGTGCTACCTGTGAAAGACAAGTCTGAGGTAGAGATTACAGGCTCTGCACACAGCTGAGAGCATGGTGCCATCAAAGCAAAAGCCTTCCATCCCTGGAGCTAATGTTTTGGAAGAGCCTCAGAGACAGAGAGAACTCCAAGGGACAGAGACCTCTGCTTGGGATCCAGAGGCTTCCTCTAAAGTTCCAGCCTAGTAGCTCTCCAGCTCTGGGTTCTTGATAAACTTGTGTAACTTCTCCTTGCTTCCAACTTCTCATTTGTGAAGGGAGGCATTGGTGCCTCTACTGGACCCTGTGTGTGGGGTACTGTGAAGAGCAAATGCGGTGAGGTAGACATGGTTTGTAGACTGTAAAGTGCTACGCTTAAGATTGCTCTAGTGTTGTGCTAGACCAGGGTAACATCTGCTAGCAAATGTTTAACAGGATCAACTACTGTGTTATGCTGAAAAAGAGAGATGGGAGGAAGGAAGGAAGGAAGGAAGGAAGGAAGGAAGGAAGGAAGGGACACATTTCTCCACCAGCCTTTGTTCTCCCCTCCCTGTGCTGCTCTCTGGGCTCCATATCAGTGCTCCAGGAGGCTCAGGCAGCCTCTGCTGGCCTCTTTAATGTGACTTGTGGACAGTGTAACATGCACTAACCTTGGTGTACAGTGCTTCCTCAAAGCAGAGCATTAAGTCTGCTGCTCAGGCCTATCTCTGTCATCTCAGAGACACACATTGGTCCCAAGGTTTTAGCCATGGCATTGGTCTCAAGGAATCTGAGTTCTGGCAGATCTTTCACCTCTGCCTGTCACCCCTTTGGCCCCCCGCTCCATCTTCCTCCTTTGCACCCTGTGGCTTGGGAGGCAGCACAGGACAGCCACCATAGGGTGGGAATAGGCTCCGTGGCTGGGAAGACCAAGTTCTGGTCTCACCCTGCTGAGGCTCTGTGGCCCAGGCAAGTCCTCTAGGTGTCCCTGTGTCCCATTCCCTTCACCTTTAAACAAGCCATCTCAGCTGGGGCTTCCCAGGGGATGCTCTGAGATGGAGCTTTGCATGCAAAGCACCCTGGAGACAGGCAGCCTTAAGGACTGGGGAGCCAGACAGAGGAAGAACTTCAACGCTAGCCAAGCAAAAGCCTGTGATTCCTGGGGAGTGGAAGTGGGCTGCCCTTCAGAGCCATTCTGTGTTGTGAGCAGAGGCTGGTCTTGTCTGTCTGCACTGACTGGATGTTGGATGCTGGCTGTCCCTGGGTCAGGGATCCACCTCTCTTGGATCAAGGGCAGTTCTTGCAGGACTCAGATGAAAGCTGCCAGCCTCAGACTTCCCAACAGTTGAGAAATGAGAGCCCTGTTTGTGGAGTCTGGGCAGTGCACCAGGGTCCTCTGTAGTGGGTGTGGGGAGGATGGAGGCATGTGGCATCTGCAGAGACCTGAGCGCAATGCCTTGTGGTACCTGCTGAACGTGGTACCTACCGTTGTTCCTGTTATCACTAGTGCCCCATGACAACACAGCTCCGTGCGCTCTGTCTTCTAGAGTTTTCTGCCATTCTACTGTGGACTGCTCGATAGAAATAGATACGTTTTTGCTTATTTCTCTTTTTTTAACCTTTGTAGCCACCCTCCCCCATGGCCAGTTGAGAGCTTAACAAATAGTTGTAGGATAGAGAGACGCATAAAGGTGAGAAAGGCATTGGGTCGCATGAGAATGAGGACCCTGAAGAGCGCGTCCCGGGGCTGTCTTTGGGGACCTTGCCGCCACTGTTTTCATAACCATCTGGCTGTCCTCTGCATTCTCTCCTAGTTGCTGTGGACTCCTGGCAGTCCCTGGCTGTCTCCTCAGTAGCTGTGGATCCGTCCATCAGGGACTTTGATGTCGCCCACATCAGCACTACTGCCACCGCCAACTTCTCAGTCGCCCGAGACTTCTGTTTGCTGGGTAAGAGGAGTCCACGCCCCCAGAAGTGTGGATCAAGCCTGCCCAGTGCTGCTCAAGGACCTGATTTCAGAAGCTTACAGAGATTTCGGGATAAATAACATGGGGGTGGCTGGGCAGGAAGAAATTAGCTGAGAGGCAGAGACCTGAGTGGGTCTCCCCGCTGCCCCACTGCACAGCCCTAGGGGTAAGGAGGAGGTGCACTGCTGTGGTCTTCTCACAGGCTAAGCTGAGACCTGGGGCAAGACTTATTTCCAGAGATTTTCTTCTGTACAATTTAAAGAACTTTCTTTTTTAAAAGTTAATTTTATTGGTACATTTTAGGTATACAATAGAATGACATTCATCATTGGAAATTTGCACCTTTACATAGTCTCTCTTGGTTCTTATTTTTCTCCCTTCCCCTGCCCTCCCTTCAACCCCTCCATCCCTCCCTATTTACAAAGACTTTGTTTCCAGTTTTTCCTTTTCTCATATT